TTTTGCTCCTAATATTCGTGAATTACTCAATTGGTGAGGTTCAACTTATTGATGGTCGATGACTCTGATCTTAGGTTCAATAATATTTAAGTCATTGATATTTTATTTAAATATTGTTATAAGTGTCTATTGTAATATATGGTTAATCTGATGGAATACTTTCTGACTTTTTTAACTATAAACTTTCTTTACCAAAAAAACAGACCCTTCTAACAAATCTTCCTAACACCATTACTGTATATGTCATAACATTTTGAAGGGTGATATTATAAGGATAATTTTTTTATATTATTTTTTTATATAATTTTTATATGTTATTAAATAAATTTTTTTATATAATTTTCACATGTCATTAAATAAATAGATGCATTCAATAGTATAGATTTTATATAAATTAAAAAAATTAATTATTTAAATGACATGTCAAGTGAGATAAAAAAATAAAACAAAAAAATTATATAAAAATCATTTTAACATTTTTAATATCAAATATCACGAGTTTCCTTTTATCTTTCAACTAGTCATTTATTGAACAATCTAGGCACCACACATCTCTAAGCTGGTTGGCAAATTAATTAAAGAGGGATGCTTTCCCTTCCGAACTAAGGGGGCACCATTCGATAAATCACTGTCGCACATCAAGACAACGCATTCCTCTAAAACAAGGTAGGAAATTGTGGAAGGACTGTTAGTTTAATTTGCCGACAAATGGTGCTGAGAAAATGAAAGACGGAATTAATGGAGTGTGTGGAGACCCTGAAGTCTTGGACTGTTAGTTCTTTTTAACTTTAAAACACAACACACCCCGTCGGCATGTAGCCTTGAAGAGATAAGCAAATAATTGATCCTACTTGTCAAACCAACAACCAAAACTCTTGCTTCATGGTTAAGGGAATAAGACTGATCCATTTCATATTTGACAAAGCAAAGTGTTTTCCCAAAAAAACCTCCACTGACCTCGCACATGTGAAAAACCGGATCATTGTGTGTAGTGGATTCAACACAAAGTAATTAAGTTGTAGTAATAGGGAAAATAGAACTTTATCAAGCGGTCCGATGAGTCGCACCTCTCATTAAAGAAGGTGAGATGTTTACTAAATTTGGAGATCGAATCTTCAGTTGTTAACAACTAATAAAACTAACCTACTAATTATTGCTCTGGTTAAAAATAATAATAATAAAATTTTGAAAAAATTCGTCAATTAAGTCCCTCAAAAAATTGCTTACTAACAAATGAGGCTTTAATAAAATTTTGGTGGCAAATTAGTAACCCAAGCCAACTTGCATTTATTTTATAAAGAAACCCAAAGCTCACCCGACATATAGACTGTTGTCATTTGTCAATCTTGAATGAATTAGAAAAATCATTCACATGAGTATCTATAATAGGGCCTTTCTCTCTGTTCCTTTTTTTTTATTGAAAAATCAAATTTAATCAAATATTAACAAAATACTAAGGAGAATTTTGCTATTATACATGTTCTAAGATGGTGATATAGTTCCATTTGCCATGTTGAATAGATTAAGATGGTGATGTAGTTCCATTTGCCATGTAGAATAGATAACGGTAACTAATGGAATGCAACAGAAAAGGTGGAATGGATAGAGTCCTCAAACAGAATGGAACTAATTCTATGCCCTACATTAGAAAATTGAGTAAAGTTTGTGTCCCAACTTGGTAATTACTCCATTGTTAATTTAAAATAAAGTTTTAAATGCCTTGATAAAAAAAAAAATTTAAAACCAAGTTTAAAAATATAGGGCGCACGTGAGAGATGGAATCAAAGGGCTATTATCTTACCCACGTGTATGTCTCTGAGAATGATCAGGGACCACCTGGCACCGACCTGCTGATCCTTGAGACTGAACTTCTTTTTCAAGCCTCAGTTTCATCGCTATCGTAACTGAGAATTGTCTCCGACGAAGAATTACTCTTCACTGAAAATGGCGGAGCAGCACGAGCAGCCGGAGCCGGAGGAGATACACAACGGCATCGCGGTGGATGACAAGCCACTGCCGCATAAAGCCAAGTGGGACTACCGGGAGGAGGATAGACCCTACGCCGTTCTCCACCGTTTACTGTCGATCATCTTCTTCCCTGATCCGAATAGCCCCGCCGCTTCAACGCCGCTTTTTCGCCGAATCAAACTCTCTGTCTCTGAGAACAAGCACCAGCTTCGTGAAGCTTCTAAAAACACCGGCCGGAGTGTTCTCCTCTGGACTCGCAGAGGCAGCTGTCTCCGTGCTCTACTTGTTATCTCTGTAACTGCTCTTCCCTTAATTTTCTTAAAATAGTTAATTTTAGTATTAATTTTTTTTTTATTGAATGAAGTCAATGAACCTATGTTTCTTCCATTTCAAGCTCAGAAAGAAAATTATTATTATTATTATAATCTTTTTGTTTTCTCCCAATTTTTACATTTGAGAAAGTAAAGGAAAAGGGAAATCTGGGTTTGAATTTTAACCCTTTTTTTTCCTTTTTTATAAAGAAGAAAATGGGATTCTGCTGCTTTGAGCCATTTTTCGATTTACTAATAATTATTGGTTGGTATTGATTGTATTGAACATTGTTATTATTTTTTTAGGCATGATCTGATCTGTTACCAATTCTCTTGTAGGTTGGGACTATTACTCTTCTTACATTGACGGGATTGTTCATATTTATGCTTTTCTTCTTGGCTGCCACTGTCAATGCCATTGTCATCTCTCTTCTTATGTCTTTGGCTGCTGCAGGAGGCTTCTTGGCTCTGTTCTTTGCTTGTGTTACGGCTATCTATATCGGCGCGTTATCAGTTGCAGCAATCACTATTTCTACTGCAACATTTTCAGCAATTGTAGCTGTTCTGATAGCCACAGGTATATCTCTTTTCATTTAGGTGCTTCATGTGTTTTGATCTTAATTCCAACTCTCATCAGTCCACTACAAACACGCTTTTTTACATTAACTTGAAAGTCACAACCTGTAGTATAGCTTTTTCTCGGCACCAAGTGCAGTTAATTGTGTGACACACCTAAATTAAGTTCCATACAAAAAAGGTGATATATAAGCGTTAAGACCAATAACTACTTATTATTAACAATTTGAGCTAGAACTTTTGAGGGAAACGTGAAAGAAATTGCAAGTCCCGACAAAGCATGACATATTATTCCAATGTGCTCTTAATTGGCTAAGGTGACATTTTAGCATTGCTGTTAAAGTGGATTTATGTTCATTCCTTTAAAATGTGCATATATATCAGCCTCCAAAGATGTTCCTATTAGAAGCTTGATAGATGAGATTCTTCATAGTGGAATTTTTTTTTTTTTTTATTTCCCTCTACTTTCTTCTTTGGAAATTGTTATGACTCTATTTTAAATTTGAAAATTTGGTCACGTGAATCAGGTTGGATTGGATTCTTTTGGACTGTATGGGTGGCTACTAAGAAAAGCGTAGGCCTTGCTAAGCACTCATTGAGCATGACTGGGTCAGCACTTTCAGCATACTCTTCTGCCCGTCATATTCATCGCCACGGCAATCCAAGTAGTTTGTAAATAAAAGTCCCTTTATGTAAATAAATCCCATATGCTTCTTTTGAGAGTTTTGTGAGAGTGCCGGTACTCCGTGTAGAGGCCTCTAGTCTTTGGTTAGATATGGTTAACACTTTGGCGTCACAAGTAAAATGGCATTTTATTGCTGCCTATGAAGATATGTTATGGGAGTTTGAAGTTTGTAGTTGGTAGCTGTTGATAAACGTTTCTGCTTTTGAACACGCTTGCCAGTTGCCCTGTATAAAAATAATACCAGTAAATTGGATTATCTGCCGAAGGTTTTTCTATTTCCGTTGTTCCCTTTTGTATTTTTTAATTTTTTTTATAATATTTTTTTGGGTGATAGTGCCCAAGGAAAATGAGAAACCGTGAAAAATGAGGACGACATAGGAGCCCAAGCCCAATCCCCTCTCAGCTTTTTGGAGACAAGAAAGAAAGCCTTTTAGTTGTTTTCAGTATGCTTCTTTCGGGAAAAGCCGAAGCCCAAAGCCTGTCAGTATATTACTTTTACTACAGTAGTTTTGAGGCAAGAAAGCCGCGCCACCCCCGGCAGTGATATATTGTGCTTTGATATTGTAATAAAGAGTTTTTTCGTGTAATTATATAATATTTTTAGATATTTTATGTTTGATAATTTTTTTAAATTATTTTTTTAATTATAAAAATTATGATAAATTTATAATAATTTTATATATAAAATCAAAAACTCATATAATCATATAATATTTTTAGATACTTTTGTATTTGATAATTTTTTTTAAATTGTTTTTTTTTAATTATAGAAGTTATAGTAAATCTATAATAATTTTATATATAAAGTCAGAAACTTTATTTTAAAGTTTTTTTGGTAATTTTTACAGAAAATACTTAATCTTTAATATAATTATAAAATTACTCATTAAAACTTAATTTTTTATAATTTAATTACATCAGAATTTATGATATTTTAATAATGATAACAAATTTAAAAAACTTAAATTATTAAAAAATAATAAATATGATCTATTTTAATAATTATATATCTTATAATATTTTTTAAATTTTAATTAATAATCAATAAAATCTACCATATTTTATTCATAATATTTTTAAAAAATAAATAATCAAACACTAAAATAACTACCAATTACAGTAACAATATAACATAGTTTAGCATAACCACAACTATAGCAAGGGCACTTCACAACAATCTTAAATGCACTCATAGTCATGGAGTAAAATGTTAAAATTATAAAATATATATACTATTATTTTTTAAAATATTAATTTTATTTAATTTAATTAATAAAAAAATTAAAAATAATTAATAATTATAATTAATAATTAATGTTAATAGTTATAATTAACAATTTAATAATAATTGTTTAATAAAAATAAGAGATCATTAACTGAATAAAAAACTAATTATGCAATATAAAATAAAAAATTAATTGATGAAATAATTAAAATTTATTTATTAATAAATTAAAATCTATCAATAAACTAAAATTTTAAACACAATTTTTAAAAAAATTAAAAATTAATAACTTTAATAATTCTTACAGCGACAATAATCACAAACACCCTCCGCCTGCCTTTTTTTTTTTTATGGGAGGGTAAATAGCCCTTATTTCTTTGGCAAAAACTTATTTAGCCCCTCACCTTATCAAATTTGAAGATTTTAGCTCATTATCTTATATTATAACACTTTTAACCTCTCATCTTACTAAATTTGTAGGTTTTAACCCCTCACCTATTAAAATCGAAGAAAATAACCCTTACTTTACACTAACCGTTAATTTGTTAGCTGAAAAAAGGTTTTTAACAGCTAATAATCAACTAACGGTCAGCTAATAGAATTAACAGTCAGCTAATAGAACTAATAAAATTTTATAAAATGAGGGCTATTTTCTTTAATTTTAATAGGTGATGGCCTAAAAGTGTTATAGTATAAGAGGAGAGACTAAAATTTATAAATCTAATAAGGTAAAGAATTAAAAATATTATAAAATACGATGAAAAGTTAAAACTTTTAAGTTTGCTAAGGGAAAGAACTTAAAGTGGCTTTTGCCTATGGCTTTTGGGAAAAGAGAGCCCTTCTGTGGGACTTAAGGCTTCTGTTGGACTTATTAAGGTTATAAAATTGAGACACCCAATGCCAGGTCTGAAGCTCAAAAGGTCAAATCCCTTTCAGTATTTTTGAGACGAGAGCCTTTTTGCTTTAAGCCTTAAATTTTTTATTTTCCTTATTTCCAAAAAAGGAGTAAAAAAAAAAACAAAATTTCATGCCAACGAAAGAGTATAAGACATTTGTTGTAGTGGGAAGGTTGAGGCTGCTGTGAGCATAACATTGAAATAACATGTTCGAGTAGGGGTGACAATGGGGCCTTATGAGGTTAGAAGTGCCGCTCGTCCTTACTCATGTGCATAATACGATAGGAATCTTTGTGGGATTTTTGACGGGGTCATATTTTGCACCCCGTCCCCATGAGAGGAACCTCAAATATAAATTTCATTCTTCAAATATTTTTAATTAATATTTAAATATAGTGAACAAAGTTTTAAAAATTCAAGTATAATTATTTAAAGTTTTTTAAATATAAATTCTTCAAATATAAACAAATATCAATCCAATTTAATTTAATTGAGTTAGACTTAGATGAGTTAAGTTAGATTGTGTAAAATTAGATTAAATTTAATTTTATTATATTGGATTTAAAATGTATTGTGATAAATTAAGTTAGATTAAATTTAAAACAAATATATATTTTTTTAATTTTTCATGGGATCGAAGATTCCAACATAATCTTATGAGGCAAAAAAAATTCCTTACATAAAGTCACAAGAAAAAATACCCCCGTCCCTACCTCATTGAAAAAGATATTTCTCCTCAACTTGTTTACGGGGATCAAAAGAAATTGACATCCCTATCTTCAAGTTGAAGATTTCTAACCTATAAAAAGAGGGCTTGCTCTTTAGATTTTTTCTTTTTTAGTTAGACTATACAAAATATTTTTGAAAACCTAAACTTGTATACAAGTTTGAATTTAAAAATTTAAGACTTCTAAACAAATTAAGAACATCTTTCAAAAAAAGACGACATAAAATTCAACTTTAATGATAAAGAAATCTTTTTCAAAAATTGGGCCAATTTGTCACGGAATAAAAATGACTGATTGGAATGTTTAACCATAAAAGCTATTAACTTTCGATGAAGTTTACCCAAACAAAATACGAAATTAAAGAAAAACGTGAAAAAAATAAACTAATAGTAATAAAAGAAAAGAACAAAAAAAAAGTCCGGTTTGGTGACCTGGTCTACAGGAAGGAAAGAAATGGAAGAAATAGAAATTTGGGTTCTGAGCTGACCAGAACGGGAGGAAGAATCGTGGAAGGTGAGGGTGTGCCAGATGTGGCAATTTTAAAAGAGAGAGGAGATTTCTAGAGACGGCGACGGAGGAGACTAAGTTTGGAGAATCCAGATCGCACAAGTTCGTCGGAAAAGGAAAGGAAAAGGAGAAAAGCAGAGTCGGAACCGGCAGAACGAGAGGAAGGATTGAGATCAAAATCGATTATTTTCGAGGAAGAAGATACAGATTGTTGTCGTGACAAAGGTGTAGTCTCATTCTTATATCTGCTTGTTTTTATCTAATTGTTAGCTGAATTAGCTGAATTATAGTTTCCGATTCATGGATAATGTAGATGAATTAATTAGTGTTCTTAGTGATAAAATTTTAATTCTGGATGTAAGATGTGATCCATGGCGATTTCATGAAAAACAGTCTGCCATTAAATTTGGAATTCGAGCTTGACATGGTCATATATTTACATGTTGTTCTGTCAAGGAATCATCTCTGTATTGACGCAAGTTCTTGAATTTCTGCAGCTTTTTCTTTCTTTTTATCTGTTTCCCTGAGTTCAAGCTAAGATGCGTGCGCCATCGCTTCTTGCACAATGTCTGCCAGGCTTGGTGCTCCATGATCGAGGAAGTCACAGCATCTCCACCATTTCTGAGAGAGATGTCCATCTTCCTTCCCCAGCTGTTGAGATTATCCCCTCAAAGGTTCGTTTGTCTTGAATTTCAATATAAATGTAGTAACCAGGAGACAAATAGTTGGTTCACAAGCAGTTATTTTGTTTGTTACTTTATTCTTTTTTTTCTTTTTTTTTTTGAGAGTTTTTTTATTGTTTTCCCTCTACAGACAGGACACCCTTACAAGTTTGCTGGGGATAATGTAGACCTGCAAGGGATCTATGTGTTCAAGGTATTTTTGACCAAGAAGATTCTCCTGATTGCCTTTTCCCCTATTCTCTTTGCCGTAAATATAGATTCTGGATACAGTAATTAGAACAAACAAAAAATGCATGTGCATTTGCACCTGTAGTTGTTATTACATATCAAGTATTGTTTACTTTCCTTTTCTGGCAAAATGTATTCTTCATGCTTTTCTTAACCTCCTACAGGGAAGAATTAGTGTTGCAGATATTTTCACTGGTTCTGAAATGATATCCTCAATATCTGATGGTGAGTACTTCTGTGAGCTGTTTTGTTTACTAGACAAATAAATATTTAATTCTTCTTCATAAAATGCTTGAACGAATCAAATTGATTGAACAGCTATAAACAACTTGTTTGGCAGGTTATCTCAAGTCTTGGGACAGCTCTATTGATCTTGTAAATGTCCTCAAGCATGAGATTCGTGATGGACAGTTAAGCTTTAGAGGCAAGAGGGTGCTTGAGGTAATTCAATATAGAAAAAGTTCATGAACAAAACAAAAGATATTGAGGAATGTTACAATTATTCTCTAGCGCTGTGCTGCAAAGTTCAATTTCTTGAAGAACGTGCACTTTTCTTTTTTACTTTTATTTCCGACCATTAACTACAACATATCTGACATCAAAGCATTCATATTTTCTTTCTAGAAACAGAACTTGTAAATGTATTATATGCTATTATTAGATAGGTAAAGTTAAATTGCTCCTTTGCCTAATTTACTGGCTTGAGGGAATAATTTTGCTGGCATATTTCTGCTTAAACTCATTTTACAATAATGTCTTACTTGTGATCTGGTTTGAGCTAGTGTCCAATAAAAGAAGCTCTTATTTGATCTTGCATCTGTTTTAATTCAACATAGGATTGATTCAGACAATCAAAATAGTTGACCTTCATTAACTATTTTCCTTGATATTTTTTATCAACTTCAGAGCTGGTTACTATTTTTTGACTGTTATTAATATTTTTTTTTGAATGAAAAATATGGGTTTGTGATGTAAGGTAGCTGGGCTTCTGCCCTTCAACTCTCTTCTTATTTTAGGAAATTTTATTCAGTAATTGCATAATGGAGTTGACTTCTCTATGTTTAAGTCCATACCATATATAATCTGAGATTCTGTCTGCTGCTTATTATTGCAGCTGGGCTGTAGCTATGGACTTCCAGGCATTTTTGCTTGCCTGAAGGTAGGTCTTCACTTATTGATCCTAACTTCTGTTCTCTCCCTCCCCTTTCTCTCTCTCTTGCTCACACGCAGACACACACACACATCTGACACCCCCACTCCCACCGGTGTTGACTCCTGTTTTGGGAGGGCTTTCTCCTGTTCCAAAAAAATCTTGTCTCTCATGCCAAAATATGTTTGACAAAGAATTTGGTTACATGAAAGATATACTGTTTACTAAATTTAATTCAATTTTTGTACAGGGTGCTTCCACAGTTCACTTCCAAGACCTCAATGCAGAATCCATACGATGCACTACCATTCCAAATGTTCTTGCCAATCTAGAGCAAGCTCAAGAAAGGCAGAGCCGGCAGCCAGAGGGTCCAGTAACTCCTTCCAGACAAACTCTTGCACCAATGGTGCACTTCTATGCAGGGGATTTTGAAGAACTCCCCACAGTCTTGTCTGTTGTCAGGAATGATGTGTCTGAAGTGACTACAGGGATGAGCCTTAGCTTTTCTGAGGAGGATTTCATGGATGGATGCAATAGCCAAGATGGAAGTGCCATAGCACAAGAAGTTTCCTCAAGAAGGCCAAGAAAGCTTTCAGGAAGCCGGCCATGGGAGAGAGCTAGTGAGACAGACCAAGGAGAAGGTGGTTATGATGTTATTTTGATGACAGAGATCCCATTCTCAGTTTCCTCTTTGAAGAAGCTATATGCACTAATTAAAAAGGTATGTTTCTGGATATTTGTAATTCTCATGATTGATGTTACCTGAAATATTAAGAAAGAAATAGATGCTGTATGCTATGTTAAAGAGTAACAAAGCTGGGGAATGAATTGGTGTTATGAACAACCTAGTGACATCAGTATCTGGATTCTGGACTAACTTATGATTCAAAATTAAGCTGCATATTGAGCCATAGGAACATGCAGCAATCTTCTTTTGCAGTTTTTATTCTGAGACCTGCTGCAGTTGCTTGTGTTCTGGACTTCCATTATTCTCTAATATCAGAGCATTATCAATACTTAATTTCAATTTTTTTTCTCTCTCTCTAATTTTCCAAATTCATTTGTTCCTTTCTCTGTCTTTGAATAAACAGTGCTTGAGGCCTCCGTATGGAGTAGCATATTTGGCAACAAAGAAGAACTATGTTGGCATCAACAGTGCGGCAAAACAGTTGAGAAGTCTTGTTGATGAAGAAGGCATTTTTGGAGCTCATTTAACCAAGGAGATGACAGATAGAGATATCTGGAAGTTCTTTCTGAAGTGAACCAAAGTGAACCAAAGTTCACTTTCAAGAACGAAGCTAGTAAACTGGTTTCCGAAATCATTTTTTCTGTTTGTATAATACACAGGTCACATATTGTTCTGATTCTTTGTTAGTAATTAATATAAAACTGAAATCGTAAAGGATTAGTAAAACTACTTTATTATAATTATCATTAATAATGGCTTTATTCTTTTTCCCCCAATTTTTCCAAATAAAATTGTATATCAAACATTATTTAAATTAAGATGTTACAAATAATGTATTGATGTTCTTGTGAAGGTGCTCTTTATTGTTATATTTTTTTTAATGTAATATTATTTTTGGTTATGTAAAAGGGAAACAAGAAGGATAATGCGATATTGCATGCAGAAAAATAAATAAGAAAAGTAAATGCCATTCAGGAAATTATCATTCACGGTCTCCCACACCATTATCACAAACAATATATTCATGCCCAGAAGCATTATGTAGACCTTCATAAGTACTTGGCAAATTACAAAGGTCAGACTTGGAACGAGCACCTACAGATATGATACCTGAGGTTTTCAACTAAATCTATTTTTGGGTACATGTTTTCAAGTCTATTCATCATCCCTTGTATGTCTTCCACTTTTACAGAACAGAAACAACAATCAACTAAAAACTAGTATGCTTGTGGTGGTTTATCATGAACTACCCTGCCTCTGGTTTTCTTCTAATCTTCTCCACACCATCTTCCAGCAATGCATTAAGGTAATGCCAGCCATAAGATACAGAAGAGGAATCCCAATAACACAGCCACCAGTGGAAAAATTTATCAGAGTCTGAGTATGAAAAATGCTGAATTGGTTAGGTTTTACTTGAGCATCATTTGGAAGAAAATATTGAACACGCAAGATGTTATAAAAACGCCAAATTTGGCAGGCAGTACAAGAAACAGATGAGCAAATCAATGTCTTAGCCAGAAAAAGATAAAGCACAGTTACATGAAGGGTAGAATTTTACCATCATTCCTGCCACAAAATGAACTAAGGGAACGAAAAATTGATCCACTTTATTTCCTTCACTGTATCCATTAAATGCAATGACCATTGAGAAAGTGTGAATTGTAACAAAGGCAAGAGCAATGATTGCTGCAATGTTCAAGACAGGAATAATTAGAGAATCTATTAACAACTCCTATTCAGCCCTTCATGTAAGTCTTAAATGCTTCCAAACAATGAAAATTGACATAAACTATAAAGCTTCACTTTGGCAGTTGTGCTTTATCTACAGATCACATGAAACAATCAAACAATGAAGGCAAATATTATGTATTAAACATAAAAACCATGGGAAAGGATATAAAAATGCCTGTGACAAATTTATCCATTTTTTTAGGACTTAAGACTCACCAGAAACCAGAAAGAATGGGATCTGCGAACACCTGTCAATGAAATAAGTTGCTGGACCAAATGCTGGTGTTAAGAGGCTTAGACAAAAGAACACAGCATGGGCCAATCCGTGACCTAAACCACCAGCTGCATGTAGTTCACAAAAATGATAAAATAACACAATTAGGATTAGCCAAAAGCATGGAAGTGTTGAAACAAAATGATCCCCTTCCCTCTCCCTGAGGGGATATCCTGTGTAATCTATATCTCAATCAACACTGTCTCTGCCAGCCCTTAAACTTACGGCCAAGAAATGCAATAACAAAAAACTGTCAAAGAGAGATGTTCTGACAATTCAATAACCTAGAAATGCAATAACAACTTAAATAATAAGGCACAAAGTACTCAGTTGAACGTTCAAAGGAATGGGAATATAAATTTATCCAATTTGATATTCAAAAGCAAGTTTGAAGGACATTGCAACCATGGCAATTAAGATCAGAGGAGAATTAGAAGGCATCTTCATAGTTTACCTAGAGCAATTAGCATCTTATCTGTTAGAAACAGCCGTGGCTTTGAGAGTCTGTCAGCAAAAGCATCCAATACGCCTTCTAGCCTCCTAATAAAGTTCACAAAATGAGACATCACCAAGAGAGAGGGAAAACCCATATTACACAATACAAAATCTAATTTTCTTTAAAGCAAGAAGGTATTATTAAGAAACATCAACATCCCTGGTGGGTTTCAAGTATAAATTCTTGACTGAATATATATCTAATAGGGCAGAAAACCAACAGAAACAACAATAAAACAAGAGAAATAAAGAAAGATCAATTGGTAGTGAAGGATAAGCATAGTTATTCCCAAATTGTAGTGCAACCATATATGTTTTACGAATCCTTTATGCATGAAATTCAGCACTTGTGTTAACCACGAAAAGAGAAACTGAAAATCAAAGGAAAAACAAGCAAAATAGAAGAGAAATGCCAAAACAAAATTTGGCAGCTAGAGATAATGCCAGCAAATTTGATGAACAATTCCTAATTTATAAAAATGAAAAATTTATGCAAAGATGTCTTCACAACAAAGTGGGTAAGTTCACAGGCTTTTTTTATCAAGCTGGGTTTGAAACAGAAGATGGTTTATACAAACACATGCTACAGAACTGAATTAACCTGAATTGACAGAAGGACAACATTGTTGGATTGGATGAAAGCAAGGACATAAAAATCTTACTTGTAAGCTTTCCAGAAAATCAAACGAAGACCCTCCTGAAAGGCAATGGATGTGACTATAAGAATTGCGTACGGCCACCATATCGTCGATTTCAAAGGAAGGAAACCCCTCCAGAGTGCTGACAGAGCTATCAAACTTATCAGCCACACCAGCGTACTGCATTTACAATCATCCCAATCGAATCAATACATTGAGTGAAAAAAGCAACATTATAGGGTTCCAAAATTTAGTAACTTTAAAACCCTTTAGTGTAGTCTAATTGGGATTCACTCAAGTTGCTCTACAATTAAAATTGTTTGACCTAACCTGGAAAGCAGGACAAGGATCAAGAAGGGCTTTCTGGAGATGACGGAGATGAAGAGGGAGAGAGACGGTCCCAGCGCTAGCAGCGCGTAC